AAACAAACAAACAAACAAGCACACAGACAAACAAACAAACACACAGACAAACAAACAAACAAACACACGCACGTGCACACGCACGCACGCACGCACGCACGCACGCCCGCACGCCCGCACGCACTCCCGCCCGCCCGCTCGCACACGCACACGCACACGCACACGCACACGCACACGCACACGCACACGCACACACACGCACACCTACACACAACACACACAACACACACAACACACAAGCACTCGGCAACAATTCACGCTATTCATCGTCGAACCATCGAAAACCAGGGAACCCAGGGTATTACCCTGGAGGCCAACCGGGTGTTTCTTGGCATGGGTATCCACTGTACCGTCGCCCTCGCCACCGCCAGGTTCTTCTCGAAGTCCTGGTCAGAGCGCGTCCCGGGAGAGGTCCGGGGAGTGGCGGCAGCGGCATCCTGTTGGTACCCCAGACACTTGCGCTCCTTGCAGCGAGATGCAGGGTGGGTGCGGCGAGCCCCTCCCCCTCGCGCAGTTCTTGGCCTCTGTGGTTACCCTCTCGGGGCCCTTCGCCCCAGAGCTTGTATCGACACAATGGGATGCCACAGGGGGGCATGAGGAGACTGATTTTCCAGACGTTTCGACTGTTTCCACAACCCTCGCTGCGATCCGTGGTTCTTCACAAGTGGTTGTTCCCATGAAGCGCCCCTGGAGGCAGATCGATCCCCCCTTGTGACCCCTTCACGACGCGAGGGGGGTCTCAGTCAGATACGACATTCCTTTCTGAGAGAAGGGGCCGCCTTCACATGGGGACACTATTCATCCCGAACCGTTTTTGTTGACAGTCCCCGGGGCCAGTAACGGCTCCCCGACGAACATGTTAATGGAGATCGCAATGAAAAGTGGAAAATCACACGGCACGCTTTTTCTGCGACGCCCGATCTGTCAGGCGACACCGCGTTCAGTTGGAGCAAATCTTGTCATGTGGGCCTCGGCTGGACTTAGCTTCCTGTCGGGTGATGCCAAATCTGGCTGGAGCGGGAGCAGGTCCAAGAGCAAGAGAAGGAGGATGAGGACAGAGCTGACTGCAAATGAGGATTACGAGGATGAGGAGGAGCTCCAGTGTTCGAAATTTCGAGGACACGGATGGCGTCTACATTGCCGCGTTCTCGTTTGGATTTCAAGGGTAGAGCAACAAGGAGTGATTTCGAAGGTTCGAGGACACGGATGGCGTCTACATCGGTGCGCTCTCGTTGGGATTTCAAGGGCAGTAGAGAGCAACAAGGAGAGATTCCGAAGGGTCGAGGACACGGATGCCGTCTACATCGGTGCGCTCTCGTTGGGATTTCAAGGGTCGACAGCAACAAGGAGTGACTATCAGCCAAGTCGTGCCGCCCCATGTTCGTACATGCTCAAAGCAGGTTTAAAAACCCAGTCCCATCCCAGAGCACAACAATACAAGGAAATCAGATTACGAAGTGCACTTGCCCGCATGGTGCGATTTCGGGATGGAGAGCAGACAGAACATGTTATTAGGAGCGCCAAAAGGATGGGTTGGCCAGGTCGCAGGCGGCGGCGCTTGGCAACTTCGAGAGTACCTCCGTTCTGGAAAATGGGACATGGGCGCCGCTTGATGGCTGTCAGAGTAGACAGCGCAGCCATCCTTTGAGAAGCACAACAGATCAAGGTTGTGCGCATCGAGGGGTCAGTTCAAGAGTACAGCAGGTGTTCACCGTGATGAGCATTCATGTATCTTGGCAAGCGGGAGCAGTGAGAGAGGCACCGTTGCAAATCAATTCTAGACGCTCCGCGTATCCCCACCAGTTTTTCCCTGGGCTTGCACGACCGCCTGGCCTCTCAGACGCCCTGGGTTGCCGCCCCCCTCGCCGCCTGATCCGCGGCCCCCGCGCGCGCCCGGGAATTTAGTCGCGGCCGCAGCCCGACCGTGACTGCTCGCCGCCGGCGCTTCCGCCTGCGGCTGTAAAAAAAAAAGTATCCCCACCAGCCCATCAGGTCGAGATGTTTTGGCTGCATGTTGCTATTCTCTGGGAGGGCCTGGGCCTCACCTGCTTGATCCGCCTTCCTACTCCGTGCTCTTACCTGCTTCCTCCGACCGGCGTGTGTGGCAGGGGTCGTTTCGGACCTTGGTGGCTGGCTCAGCGACGCTGAGGTCGCCCTCTCTCCGGCTCCGCTGCCAGGGGTGGCCTCTCCCAGGCGTTGAGTCGGGCCTGTCCCTCTACAGGGGGACTGTTCAACAATTTTTTTGTTAATAGTCAGGGGAAGATGTTAGGAGTATTTTTTTGACAATTTGTTTGGAGCAGTTTCATATTATCTTTTGCTTTTTCGTCCAACATCCCCCCTGTAGGGGGACAGGCCCGACCTAACCCAAGTGTGTCAGCACGGGGGGGGGGGAGGGGCAGCCGCGAGCTGAGGCGGGTGCAGACCTCGCCCAGTGGAGGAGGGGAGCTCTGGAGGGTCCACCACGGACGAGAAACCAGCAGGGCATCTCGATCCCACAGCTGCGATCCTCAAAGCTCGGCGCCCCCTCCCCCTGCTCCCCCTTCGAAGACGACCACGACGATGGCATCGTCGATGACGACGGACGACGACGACCTCGGAGCCAACCACTGACGTTGACGAGGAGGGGGAGGAGGAGGAAGAGGAGGAGGGGGAGGAGGACCTAAGCTGGACCTAAGCTTCTGGGTAATTGTCACCCAACTCGCAATTGCAGCGAGCGGCGGAAACTGTTCAAAGGTGAGCCTCCTGGGACAGGTCTGCGTTTGGGACTCCCGCCTGAGCCACTCTCCCGTTTGGGGGTGTATGATGGCGCGGGGTCGGAGTCAGACTAATCCCAGGCTGTCGCCTTTCCCGCCCTGGCAGGTGTGCTTGCATGCTGACCAGACGGCAATTGAGAACTGAGAACTGAGAACTGAGGAGGAGAAGGAGGAGGAGGAGGAGGGGGAGGAGGAGGGGGAGGAGAAGGAGGGGGAGAGGGAGAACGAGAAGAAGAAGGGGATGGGGGCCCAAATCCTCGACGCCGAATTGTTTTCACAGCGTCGACCCCCAGAGGTCTGGACCATCTCCCCGAATCGTTCTGCTGACGGTCCCGAGGCCCGGCGAGGGCCCCCTGGAGGCCAGAAGTAGCCAGCAACCTCCCGTGGTGATTCTTTCGGGCCAGACGGAAGGGCGGGATGGGGAAAGGGGGGGCTACCACATCTGCTGCATGCAGCTGGTTTCGGCCCCGCCGAGGGGCCCATTCCTCGATGCATGGGCGCCTCCCGGCGCCAGGAGGCGCCGGGAAAATTAGGGGGCCACATGCGAACCCTATCCCTACCCCCTACGATTTCTGAGGGGGAGGGTGGGGTTCACTTCGTTCGGGAGCTCCCGAGCAAAGTGAACCCCACCCTCCCCCTCAGAAATCGTGGGGGGTAGGGGTAGGGTCCGCATGTGGCCCCCTCAAAATCAGCTGAGCTGACTCTCAAACACCCCCCATTGCCATCCCCCCCCGTTCGCCCGGCCCGATTCCCGTCACCACGCCGAGGGGGCCTGGGCAGGCTGCACGGCTTCAGTCAGTCAGCCAAGAGTTGAAAACGTTTTTGGGTTCAGGGTTTCCAGAATCTGCCACATGTCTGTGTGAATGAGTATTGTGATCAGGTGTTATATACGTGTGTGTATATATATATATCTATATCCATTATGCATTTAAAAGTACAAGCGGTTTACGCCATTCCGCCGCCCCCAGAAGGAGCCAGAGTTTGCGACGGTGGTAGAATTTCCCGAATACGCCTAAAGCGAAGAAGCGCCGCCCCCTGCCCTTCAAAAGACGCCTATGTGGCCAAACGTTTGGGCAAAGTTCGGCAACGTTATTTGACCATGCGTTCCCCCAGCCGTTGTGGAAGAAGAGGCGGATAAGGAGAGGGAGGAAAAGGGAGGATAAGGAGAAAGAGGAGATCTCTTGGGAGCTTCTTGACTCATCCTCGGGGCCTCCTGGGAGCTTCCTGGGAGCCTCTTCGAGGCCTCTTGGGGGCGGCCTTGGGCCTCCGGGGGGGGGGCATTTGGGAGCTTCTTGGGGGCGTCTTTGGTCGGCAGCCGTCTTGGGAGCCTCTCTGGGCCGTCTTGGCGCCTTTTGGAGCGCTTCCGGCTCGTCTTGAAGGCCATTTTGGGCGTCTTGGATGCCTCTTGGGCCGTCTTGGGGGCATTCTTGGGAGCTTCTTGGGTCATGCTGGGGCAAGTTGGAGGCCTCGTTGGCGCTCTGGAGGCGATCTTGGAGGCCTCTTGGGCCGTCCTGGGCCTTTGGCAGTCCGTGAAGAAGCAACCGCCAATTGTTTTTTTGAAATTGAGGGGAATTACTAAATTATGCCTCTTCGGGCCTTCCTGGAGGACCCCTTGGAGGCCTAATTATCGGGCCGTTTTGGATGCCTTTTCGGGGCCTCTTGGGCCGTCTGGTGCCATCTTGAAGCCATCTTGGGCCGTCTTGGGTGCATTTTGGGCCGACTTGTGTGCATCTTGGGGCCGTCTTGGGCCCTCTTGGAGCCAGTTTGGCCTTGAAGCGTCTTGGAGGCATCCTGGAGGCCATCTTGGGCCACCTTGCCCGCCCTGGAAGCGATTGAAACAACGAGAGATGGATTTTGGGAGCTTTCCGGGTGGCCGGTGGGTTAGGCCGAAGCCCCAGTGATAGTTTTGGAAAACATGAAAGTGATGCCAATGTCGCACATGTGTATTGATGCTGTTATGTATACATATACATATATATATACACATATGTGCATGCATGTGTATATATATATATGTGTGTGTCATTCAATACGCTGAAGTACTTGCCATTTTGGGATCAGAAAGTGTCTCAGGTTTCAGGGCGTTCCTTAAGTCTGGGTCGGGGGCCTCTTCGTGCCTGGGGCTCGCCGCGGCGGGAGGCGCCCCCGTCGCTCCTCCTCCGGGGCGCTCCCCGTGGCAGCACGGCGGCGCTGCCTGCAGCTGCCGCCCTCGCCCTCGTGCTGCCGGAGGCCCCCGCCGCGGTGCAGGCCAGCTCCTGGGCGACGCTGGCAAGTCGGTGCCGTCCCGCCCCTGCTGGCCTCGGCGGCCGCGGCGGCGACGGCGGCGGCCGCGGCGGCGGCGGCCGCGGCGGTTGCTGGCGGCGGCTGCGGCAGCGGCTGGCGGCGGCTGCGGCGGCGGCTGGCGGCGGCTGCGGCAGCGGCTGGCGGCGGCGTCGTCGGCGCGGCTGCGGCAGCGGCGGCAGCCGCAGTGGCGGCGGCGGCGGCGGCAGGCCCGGTGGCGTCGCGAGGGGCGGCGGGGCGGAGCGCGCCTCGCCGTGTTCGGCCTCGGGAGGCCGCTCCCAAGGCCAGGCGGGGCCGGCAGGGAGCGGCTCGGGCTGAAGAGCCCGCTCCGGGGGGGGGGGCCACGTCGCCAGCAAGACGCAGCGCCGGAGGAGGAAGAGGAGACTCGGGTGTTGCTAGAAGTGCCCCTGGCCCAAGGTGCCCCCAGGATTTCCAAGGAGGCCCCCGGGGCCTCCAGAGCACCCCTCACGAGGCCCAGGGAGCCCGGGGGGCCCAACGTAAAGCGAAAAGCTGGGGGCACCTTAGGCCAGGGGCACCGTTAGCAACCCCCGAGAGACGAGGGAGCGGAGTAAGGAGGAGGGCGTGATCTGGGAGGCAGAGGCTCCTGAGGAGGAGGAGGGGGACCCCGCCCCTCGAGGCCAGCAAGTCCTGTCACAGGGCAGGAAGAGAAGCCCATGCATTGTTCACCGCCCACCGAACCGCCCCAAGCCAACCCGAAGGCCCCGGCTCGCCCTCCACTTCCAGTGGCGGGGCGTCGGGGAGCATCGAGCAAGCACGTGTGGAGCCCGTACCCCGCCCAACCCGAAATTCGAGTCTTCGGGTCAGGTCTTGGCATCGCTCGGACGTGTGAATTTTTCTTTCAGCGAGGACCATCGAGGAGCATCCTTGATCATTTGGCGAAAAAACCACGCACGACACCGAAACAAAAACAGGGAATGCACGTCCGAGCGATGGCCAGAGGTCGAGGTGGTCTGGTAGGTCGTCATTGCTTGGTCAGCGGCCGCAGGGAGGTCCGGCGGCGGCGGAGCAGCGGCGGGGCGCGCCGGAGCACAGCGGGGCGCAGGGGAGCGGGGGGCGCGCGGGTCGAGGGCGGCCGGAGAGGCCGCGGGGCCGCGGGCGCCACTCTCGGGCCGTGTCGGTCGTCGTGTGCGTGCCGAGGTGCCGTGTCGTGCAAGCGGGCAGCCCAGAGATCCAACGTGTTGACAAACATCCAGCTGGAGGTTTCTCGCATAGGGGCCTCAGTCGGGCCCCAGGACTGTCAAAAAACGACTCAGGATGAAATACCGGTCCTCGCGTGAGTGGGTCCAGATTTCCAGGGGCCCCGCATTGAAACGATCACGACGTCGGATCTTTGGGAAGCTACACATCCGACGTCGCGTCCTTTTTCGCAGCGTGACTCCCCCAAGGTCCTGGGCCCCGTCCAGGGGCCCAGCTTCTCATCCCGAGACTGGTGTTCTGACGTCCCCGGGGCCCGGCAAGGGGGCCTCCACAGAGGCCTGGCCTCGAAGTGCCCGACAATCCCCGCCGTGATATTTTTGCACGGGGGAAGAGGAAGAGGAGGAGGGGGAGGAGGAGGAGGAGGAGAAAGGAGGAGGAGGAGGAGGAGGAGGAGGAGGAGGAGGAGGACGAGGAGGACGAGGAGGACGAGGAGGAGGAGGGAGCAGGAGCAGGAGGAGGAGGAGGAGGAGGAGGAGGAGGGGAGGAGGAGGAGGAGGAGGAGGAGGAGGGAGGAGGGAGGAGGGAGGAGGAGGAGGGAGGAGGGAGGAGGGAGGAGGGAGGAGGAGGAGGAGAGGAGGGAGGAGGGGAGGAGGGAGGAGGAGGAGGAGGAGGAGAGGAGGAGGAGGAGGAGGAGGAGGAGGAGGAGGACGAGAGGGAGGAGGAGGACGAGGAGACGACGAGGAGGAGGAGGAGGAGAGGAGGAGGAGGAGGAGAGGGAGGAGGAGGGAGGAGGGAGGAGGAGGGAGGGAGGGAGGAGGAGGGAGGGAGGGGAGGGAGGGAGGGAGGAGGAGGGAGGGAGGGAGGGAGGGAGGGAGGGAGGGAGGGAGGGAGGAGGGAGGGAGGGAGGGAGGGAGGGAGGGAGGGGGGGAGGGAGGAGGGGGGGGGAGGGGGTGGGGGAGGGGGAGGGGGAGGGGGAGGGGGAGGGGGGAGGGGGAGGGTCAGGGGGGGGAGGGGGAGGAGGGGGAGGAGGGAGGAGGAGGAGGAGGAGGAGGAGGAGGAGGAGGAGGAGGAGGGAGGAGGAGGAGGAGGAGGGAGGAGGGAGGGGGAGGGAGGAGGGAGGAGGGAGGAGAGGGGAGGAGGGAGGAGGGAGGAGGGAGGAGGGAGGAGGAGGAGGGAGGAGGGAGGAGGGGAGGAGGGAGGAGGGAGGAGGGAGGAGGAGGGAGGAGGGAGGAGGGAGGAGGGAGGAGGAGGAGGAGGAGGAGGAGGACGGACGGCTGCGTCCGACAGGACATCGAGCCGATAGCGATAGCGATAGCGATAGGAGGAGGAGGAGGAGGAGGAGGAGGAGGACGGCTGCGTCCAACTGGACATCGAGCCGATAGCGATAGCGATAGCGATAGGAGGAGGAGGAGGAGGAGGAGGAGGAGCGCGAAGGAAGCCCTGCGGCACGGAGGGGAGGGAAGGAGGCGGAGGGCATGGAAGGGGGGGGAGGGGCGAGAGGAGGCGCGCGCCCGAGCGCGGCGCCGCGCATTCACGAGTCGAGGGCGCCAGGGCTAAGTCGGGCCCGTCCCTCTACAGGGGGAATACTCCACAATAGCCCCAACATAGTCACGGGATTATTTTTGATGTATTTTGTTGACCATTCTGGAACATAGAATGTTTCATTTTTCGTTGAAAATCCCCCTGTAGGGGGACAGGCCCGACTTAACGCCAGGGCCCTTCGGTGCAAGCAGACTTGACGCAGCGCGTGGGCGCACGCCCGTTGCCCTCCTCGCCATCCTCCCCCAGGAGGGGCCGGGCGGGGTGCGCGCCCCGCCGCCGCCGGGCCTCGGGCGCGCCCCCTCTGCGCCGAGGCGGGAACTGAGTCGCAACCGCCGCCTCGGGGAATCGATCTTCGGAGACCCCGGCAGGCGGCGCACACATTTACATATAGTTGCATATGTCCATACGTATACACATAATATATATATATATATATATGTGTGTATAGTATACGTAGGTAAACGTAGATATTGTATACCTGATATCGTAGATATACGTATATTATAAGATATTATACGTCGATATACGTAGATATGCGTAGATATCTGATTGGGGGAAACCTACGTGTATTATACGTAGATATCCCCCAATCAGCGCTTACACTGAAGGGCTCCTAGCGGAGATTCCCCAATCGGTGCTTGCACTGAAGGGGTCCTAGCGGAGGTTCAAGGACTTGGCAAAAGTTTGCGGCCGATTTCGGTGGGCGGCTGGGTTCCTGGTTCTGGGTTCCCGGGTTCCCGGGCTCGGATTCCGGAGGGGGGGGAGGTCGATCTAGATATTTGTTGGTTGCGAAGGAGAATCTGCGCGGCGCAAATCGCCCAGCAGGCCACTGGGGGGTCGCACTCAAAGTGCGCCCCCGCGAATACGCGCTCGCTTTTGCGATGCGCATCGCGTGTTCTGCGATGCGCACCGCGGCCTGGGGGGCGCTTCGGAGGAGGGCGACGACGGGGGTGGGCGGGGGGGGGGGCAGGAGAAGGAGGAGGAGGAGGAGGAGGAGGAGGAGGAGGAGGAGGAGGAGGAGGAGGGAGGAGGAGGAGGAAGGAAGGCGAGGAGGAGGGGGGCGAGGAGAAGGATAGGGGGGGAACGAGGGAGGGAGGGAGGGGAGGGTGGGGGGAAGACGGAGGGAGGACGAAGATAACTTGCTGTCGGGTGCGCTCGCCTCAGCATGACGATGCACCTTCGCCCGTCGTTGCTGCAGTGATGCGCGCGTGCAGCTTTTTGATGTGACCAGTAATTGTCCTCTGTGATCGCTAAGTTTCGCGCGTGGCCACTACGGCGCCCGCAACTTTCTCCGCGCGACCGCTGCGGTGCTCGCTGCGTCCGTTTGCCCTGTCGGAAATATTGCGTTTTCGACGTCACTTGAGCGCCCTCGGGCGCTGCTTTTCCTTTGCATTGTTGGCCCGAAATGATAGTGGTCACACTGCGGACGTCCTAGCGGTCACCGTGGCGGGCGCTGCGCGCGCGACCCGCGAGGCGGTCGTTCGGCGTTCGCGGGCGCTCGGCGCCCACAGGCGTTCGAAACTGCCCGCCGCCCCCCCCCGCTGCAGCGAGGTCGGGCCACGGTCAGCCCTGCGTCGGTCGTCGCCGGTCCCGCATTTGGCTCGCTCGCGACTGTGGCGCCCAAAGCTCGTGCGCCCGCTAGTCCCGCGGTGGCGGCGCGGCTCGGCGGGGCCAGCCCGTCGGGGTCGGCGCGCGCGCCTCCTTGGTGCGAGTTGTAAAGTAAGAGGTTTCTCTGTTTAGTTTCGCTTTGGATATGCTCGCGGACGGTGCTTGCGCGCGACGCCGCCATCTCTGTCGCGAGCGTGAATCCGTTGCCCTGGCGCGACGCGTCGGCTGCGCAAGCGACGCAGCGCCCGCCCTGTCAACGGACGAGACCTCGCTAAAAGCTTGCATCCGTGGGCACCTCTGCGGCGCGGGCAGCCCTTTCCCGCGGCCGAGGCCTGCGCATCTTGAAGTTGTCAACCCCGCTGCTCGCGCAGACGTCCCAGCCGCCCACCCGCAGTTTGGACTGCCGAACCCCCTGCAGCGGCGATGGGGATGACTGCTCGGCGCTGGCCGGCGCATCCGCGGCAGCCCAGGGCGCGCGCGGGCTCGCGCGCAGAGCGGCCAGCTAGTAAGTCCTGGCGCGGCCCGCGCGGCCGCGATGGCGCTGATCGCTGGGGGCTGCCCGGCGCGTCTCGCAGGCCGCCGCGACGCGCGGGCACTCCGGTGCAGGTCGGCGTCTCGGGCGGGCGCGGCGCCGCGGCGGCGCCGACGACGGCCGACGC